TTTGATCGTCACTCACAGTAAGCCGTCGATCGCTCTCTTTTACTTTCGTTTCATCGCCTCTTCGCTTTTTTCATCACTCCGAAGACCGGTGGCGTTCCTAGTCCCCACAAAGGGGCACGACCCGGCGGGGCCTCTGGGGCATGGGGAGAGCCTCAATTTCCGACCATCAGGTCGACAAAGAGGCACTTCCCCGGTGCGCCCCCTGGTCCGGAGCCTTTTGCAAAGGCTCCTTAGGGTCTCCGCTTGTGCGGATCCCCCCCTTCCGCATGTGGGCGAATCGCCTCCGGGAGCGTCCCAGGAGAGCGACCGCCATTAATTCAGTCCAGATTCTTGTGGAAAATTCTTGGACTTCCTTCATGTGTTCCTTATGCAGCTTTATGCTTAGAAACCAATCAAAGGCTTCTATCAACCAAAGCATGGCTGATAACAACTCAGTTTTAGCTTAAACTTCATTTCCATGCTAAAGCTAAAAGTATTATTACTCACATGTTAACTGAGTCCCATCTCTCTCCATGGCTTAGGTATGTAGAGGAGAAACTCTCTACAATGGGAATATCCCCAGATTATTTAGCCCCCTTTTCAGATAAACGAGCCTATGCTATTATTAAACAAAGATTTCTCGACATCAAAAGGCAAGAACTTAGGATGCTCCCCAAGCAGGTTGGGAACTTTTGACATAGGCTCTACTGCGAAGTATCTGTCAAGTTTAACAGCCCCACATCATCGCAGAGCATACTTGCTTGCACGCTTTAATGTTCTGCCATCAGAGATGCTTTTAGGGAGGTACCGCCAGATACCATATGTAGACAAACTTTGTCCTTGTTCTCTAAAATTTATAGAATCCACTACACACACCATACTTCATTGCCCCCTCTATAGGGATATCCGATCTCGTTTTATTACTCCATTTCTAGAGGGTAAGAGCTGGCACTCTGATTACTCAACTGTTCACTTTCTTCTGTTTAATTCTAATTGCAAAATAATGGAGGCTGTTGCAAAAATTTTATGCAATCAGAAGACGAGGCTC